AAATGTGTTTGCTTTAAACAAACAGCTTCAGTTATTTTAATATAAATTATCTCCTTCTTTAACAATATCTTCTTAGAAATGTTTTCCCGAATATGAACATGTTTCACCAGTTTTTATTTCTGCAAAAACCATAGTGCAAGCAATAAGTTGCTTATTTTTAATTATGGTATTAGTAAAGAATACCTCATTAAACTCTGGGCAAGAATTAAAGGTATGAGAGATTAATGTACATTGCTTTAACTAAAAGTTTTCTCCATTATGTTGACTATTAACTCCAGACTTGACTATCTCCATTAAAATTTTTATGGAATGGCCAAAGTTCATATGTGGGGAGAAAATCTCAAGTTTGTTTTAGGGGATTTCATATTTGAACTGTGATGCATTTTAATATGAATTCTGTTCATTTCTAGGAAAAGAATGTTCACTTCTAAGAAAAGAATGATATTTTCATTGTCATACATTTTTTCTTCTGTTTACAAGGAATTTTAAAAAGATAATTCATCGCTTCACTCCAAGATATTATTAAAGATATTAGCATACTTCAATATGAAGATATTAGCATGTTTTTAGCTTTCAGCTGACTATATTTGCAATAGGCCATGCAGTGATTGAAAGTAAAATTAAAGGCCCTAATGCCACTTATTACTTTTGCTTTTTATTGGCTTTATTCTAGATCTACACATGCATTATGCATTTTTTAAAAAGGAAAATACAGTTTAGTACATTAAAAAGCCAAAAATCTTAGAAACAAAGACTATTAAAACAGACAAGCACAAGAATTGTTTGGAATACCTGGTTTTAAGTCCCCATGGACAAACATGTCAATCATATATCGACAGAATGCATACTGATCTGACAGAGTAGAAAGAAAAAAAATGAGAAAATGTCATCAAAATCCTTCTTTTTTCAATGGAGAAATGGTTTAACAAAACAAAATAGCACAATTCAATTTTGGTTACTACATATTTTCTGCAAAGAAATAATTTGTATTCATGGACATGCAGGAGGGAAAAGGCATAATGAACATAATGCTCCATTTAGTCATACAAAAAAATACCTTAAATTTTGAAACAGAGATAATATTATAGTGGTTGTTTTTAAAAATGAAAGCCTTTTTCATCAAATTTGCTACAAAGTCATCACATTAAAGCACTCATTCTCATTTGTCCTTTTGTAGACTTAGGATGATGAAGCAGAAATTTTACAAAAGAAAATTGGTTCCAATTTGGAATGTTTTACCAAATATTCTCTCCCAGATCCTAAATGAAGCTGCAGAATATTTTGTCAAAAGGCCTGCAGTAGGGCGAACCCCTTTGAAACTACTTTCCATGACAATGTTCTTTAATTAGAAGAAATCAAGAACAGACTAACAGTGCCAAATGATACCACTGTTAAGATAATTAATTGAGTAATTTTCATAAGACCATTTTATGATCTTGACTAGTCTATGACCTATGGAAAAAAGGATCAAAAGACAGTAAGTGGTGAACATTTGGGACAAACATCTTAAAATAATTTCAAGAGTGTTTTTTTTTTCTTTTCTCTCTAAACTATTTCATATTTTCACACAACTTTAAATTCTCCTAAGGTCATTCCAAGTTTCCATTGATGAAGATTCTCATTAGAATCTGTAAGTTTTACCAGAGATTCTCTAAATCTTGAATATTATGAAATGAATCTTCTATGCAATGATTTACATTTTAGTTTTCTTAGAATAGAGATCTTATTAATTGACCAAATCCAAAGGCAGCTTTGGGACCAAGTAAGTTTATTGGCTTTATACAACATGACATATTTTTAATTGTTTCACATTATGCGTATCAAACATGAAACAACAAAATTTGTTATTCTATTAATATACATTGAAGGATTTTTTAAAACTTCAATCTTTAGAGTGTTAATATTTTTAATGAGTTTTATTATGAAACTCTCCCAGGTCTTTCAAAACGTAAATGCTATGTGGTAGATCTAAAATACAATCGTGTTCATTAATACCTAAATATGTTAAGCCAAAACTCATATAATTTCAAAATGTTGTATGTATTTTTATTGTTGAAATGAGAGCACATTTTCCCACAGGAGACTCAGGAGTGGGAAAAAGGCTAATTCTCAGATCAGTCCATGAATCTATCTACTCTTTGATGAAGCTGCAGTAACAAAAATTTCAGATGCCAGGACCTGGGAACCTCATATGGAAAAAAAAAAAAAAAAAAAAAAAAGTAAGGTTGAAGCAGATGGTAGCTTCTCTTTTCTGAACACAAGATTTTCTTGCTGAATGGGTAAGTCTGCACTAAGACAAGACCAAAAAAAAAAAATGCATTTTCCTTTAATGGAAAATTAGAATTAGTTAAATGTGACATTGTCAGTCTTTCCCTTTTGTTTCACTATCTGAAGTGATTATGCCTTTAGATTTCTTTTAGAAGTAGTTCTCTGTTGGCAGTTTACTCATCAAAAAGACAAGGGAATTTCTTGTGGGACACATCATTTCAAAACTTGTGCTGTGGGTCTGGACCCTAGGATGATGCATTTTTATCAAACTCCCCTGATGCGTCTAATCAGATAGATCATATATGCAGAATCCCCAATCTAAAACCATTCAATTGTGTTTTTACTCAGTGATCATTAATGACACTACAGCCTCCTAGGACAGCAAAAGAGACTTTTTGTTAGAATGTAGTCTGAAGTTTAGAATGTAGGGACTATTTGTAATTTGAAGGATTTGTATGATGCTCCAAAATGAAATATTGTTCTCTGTCCCAAGGGATGATGGGCTAGCTATACACATAAAATGTTGAACAGTGTACTGAATTAATAAAACCACAGTTCAAAGTTTCCTCATCAATTTAATATTGAGAGTATATCAAAACTTTTTAACCTGGTATGAATATTACCAAAGTGCTATGTTTATTTTTTATCATACCAATAATGTGTGGTTCCAAAGATCATTCTTTTAATTAATGCATCAATAGTTCAATGAGTTTCTAATTTGAAAAGAAAATTCTCTATTAGTTCAAGGAACTTTCTTTTTCATCTAGAAAATTATTTGAATAATAACATTTAAAACGTTTTAGTTCTTTATAAGCAAGGCTGTGATCTTATATTCTAATGGCATCACTATTTTTAAAATATTTTACATTAAGAATTTTGTAATATTTTGTATATTTCTCTCTGTCCTCAGATCAAGATATATAACAATTCTTTGAAGGTATGTATTAGGCAGTTCTAAGTATGTCTGTTTCACCTGCCTTAGGACAGAGCAAAAGAAAATTCCTAATTCTAAAAGATTCATTTTACAGAAATGTTTCTTTAAACCCAAGTCAAACTATGTAGCAGGAATTTTTTCCTAAAGAAAAATCTGAGTTGTCTTGTCATTGTAACTCTCATAGTTATGGGATAATAATTTACATAAGTTAACTTCATATTTGGTCACCACTTCAAAGTAATTTTTCTCAAATAGCATCCTTCTAGGAATAATCCATGCTGTCCGTCTCTCCCCTTTGCGGTCCTCAGGGAGCAATGATGGACGTCATTCAGCTGCTGCTGCCTTGTCAGTGTTCCCTGTGGAGTGGCAGCTGAGGGAAAATGAATTCTGGGTGCAAAATGTCATCAGAAGGGATTCTTAAAAATAATCTTTAATGAGGATGGGGTACGTGCAGTCCAGTGTTCTATGGCAGATTCTCATTAGCTCTACTTTCTCTGACTGCTACAGATATTTAAATAATTGTTGGAAAAGAAAGAAAAAAAATAAGCAAAATACATAGGATCTGGGAGATTGTTTTGTTTCTTTTTTTCGCTTCCCCACAGACTCACCAGAGACTAAGAAGCAATATGCCATTTTGGCAACACTTCTTACCACCCAATAAATTGATTTAAATTGGTCCATAAAAACTGAATTATGAAATATAAAAGTTGTGTTTCAGTTTCTAGTAGCCATGTACATACATATGAATCTTATTCTCAGTGCTTTAAGTATAAATGCATTGTTTATGTATGAAATATTAAAAGTAACCACATTTAATATATTTACGTATATACTATGTAATCAAATAATTTCCAATAATTTTGTGTCCTGTGTAGGTTTCCAAGTAGTAAAAGATCTGCAAAAACAATTTATTTAAAAGGAACTATTTAGATATCTTAATGAAAAGAATATCTTAAATTCATTACATCTAACTTAAGCTAAGCAAATAAATATTTTCTTGACCAAAGAAGAACTAGTTTAATTTTACTGTCAACAATACAATAACTTCAAAATAAAAATAAACTCATGCATTTGTATTTTAAACAACAACTTTACCTTATTTAATTAAAACTATTATGTGATTAGGTTTTTAAATAAACAAATGCTCTTAAGTCTTAAGTGTAGAAATAAAAGTTAACATATTTATGTGTCTGACCAACCATTATAGGTTAAATTTTGATTACTTACCTAATACTACCTTTATTTAATTAATGATAGCTATTCTCAATAGGAAATTTAGCAAATGCATTTGTTTAGCTGAAGAAATCTTATTTGTGTACTTGTGTCTACCTCTGTGTGATATTTGAGCATCCTTTTAAAAGATAAATAGCTCTTAATGTAGAAATGAAAAGAGCAAAATGAAAATGGAATAATAATATAATGTTATCTTAAATAAATCTGTTCCTGATAGGAATAAAATATAGTATTTGTAACTTGAAAATAAATATTATTTGAAATGTCCTAGTGTTATGTCCTTATCAGTAAAATATAGTCTCAAAGCCACCAAAGATACTAAAAATGACCATCCCAAAACATGTTCATATTCCTACTTACTGGATAAGTATTTTGACATTCCTAAAAATAACTGGCATACATCTTTATAAACTTAAGATAAACTTGCATGTTTTAACTAGTTTCATGTTGGAAAAGGATGATCTAAAATGCAAAATATTTTAAGATATAAATAAACATATTAGTGAATCAGAAGATTAACTTTTGTATTCTATCATAATACAATATCCCATTAAAATATTTTTCTTCATTTATTACATTTATTTTCTATCCCAAATATTGCATAAATGAAATAATTTAAAAAGAGATGATAACTAATATTTTTAATTTTTCAGGGTAATATAATCATCTTAAAAATGAAAGAAAGATTTAAGGTTCCAAAGTTTTAATTAAATCCTATATTAAAATATTACTTCAAAATAAGTGAAAATTTCTTAAAGTTTTTTGATCACAAAAAGAAAAAAAGATCTTTCTTCCTTCTTCTTTTTTAAAATATATATTTTAAAATATGTACCTTTCATCCTATAAATCAAAGTTTACAAATATTACTTTTACACTGAAGTTTACCAATATTGTCAATTTGGGGAAGATAAAATTACAAAAGTAGATAAAATACAAAAGTATACTGCATATTTCAGATCATGTTAACTATAATGAGGAAAATTATTGTCATTTTTCTGTCCGAAAGCTTAATCAGAAATTAGATGTTAAGATTTTTTAAAAAACATAAAAGTCTCAGAGTATCCAATTCCTTGATTTTAACTCTCACATGAAATTATTCAATTGCTACCAGAGTAAAAGAAAATTTTATTTTGCACCCTCTGTAGGACACATCCTTTACAGAAATAGGTTAGGTCCCACATTCTAGTCATGGAGTCTCAGAGTGTGTAGTGACCTTGACCTAAGAATGGACTTAGAGAAGGAAAGATTCAACAAAGCCCAAAGGCCCTTAGTAGCCCTCTAAACACTTCACCCACCGCTTTATGTTTACTTAGAACCCTTCCATAAAGAACTTCAGTTGTCTTTTCCACCTCCATTTAAATGCTATACCATTTCTGAAGTGAGGGTATAAGTTTGACATCACTCTTATTGAAGAGAATCAGTCACCTGTCAGCTGTAGAGCTTTCCAAAATCATCAATTTAGTCACTGGAAACTGGCAAAAAATGCCGAGAGTTCTTTTTTCTACAACTTTGTTGCCTATTAAATTCAATGAATTTTATAATTTGATCATATTCTAAATTGTGTGTGCTTTCAGAAACCGTGAGAATGTACAAATAGTTTTAATAGTATTTATTATTTATAATTTGTTCATAGACTCCTTAACAAATCTTTGGAATTGCTATCATTTTTTTTTCTGGAGTGCTTTTCTCTTAAGTATGACACACAAAATTGTTCAATTGTTATTCTGTCTCTTAATAGAAATTCTACATCTCAAGAATTCAACATTTACTCCCAACATTTAAGTAACTCCAGACTCTAATTCAAAAACCACTTTAAAATACTTCAAAATGCAACCTTAGATATGTTTGAACTCATTTTATATTTCTATAAATAAATATTAATTCCCATTTTATTATATTTCTTTTCCAGTATATTTACATGTATGGGTCTGTTACCCCTGTTTGGAGTCTGATTTTGATCTTTGTCAGGTTAATTTTACTGCATCTGCTTCTTGCCCAATATCCTCTTAGAGCCTCGGGCTGCTTCCTCCTCTGAATGTTTACCTTGCTGCTCATGTTTGGACAGTGCCTCTTTGTCCTCCTTTTCTTTATCCTTCTCTTTGGTTTTCGGTGATGGTTTCTGTACTTCTTTTACTTTTGCAGCTGTTTGCTTCATTTTCTCTGGTTTCCCACCTTTTGCTTCCTTTTTAGTCTTTTCATCAGTCTTTTCTTTAGACTTAGCCTTCTTTTCTTCTGTTTACAGTTAAGAAACATTAGATTATTACTTTTTAAACTTACCAACAGAATATTTCTTCTGTAATTGCTACTTAAACATAATCTTTAGAAGAAAGAGGAAAGGAAAAAAAAGGAACAGGAAACTGTAATTTTGACATAAATATTTGTGATTGTTATCAAAATTTAATGCAATGTATGAAGGGGTATCTTAAACTTATAGCTCATCTGCAAAATGCAACTCTTTTTTAATTTAAAATGCTATATTTTATGTAATCAAGAGAGACTAAGCTACATTTAAGATCAGAGATTTTTCTTCTGACAAAATCATTTTGGAAACAGCAAAACCAGTTTCTTGCTATGGAGTCCCTCAAAGGTATGTTATACTGAGACTCTCCAAGGAGGAAAATTATGCTATATATATTATCCAAAATTATTTTACCATAAATTTCTCATACAAATATTACCCACTCACTTCATAAGTTTCAAGATTCCAAACTCTTTGTGGGTTCTGTGACTATACTTGGGATTTTCTTCTACATTCTATGAACCATTTCTAAATATCCTTTGCTTGCTTTTTGCTTTTTCCTATAGCAAATTCATACATATCGTGACTGAGAAAAAAAAATCTGCTTTCTGTGGATGACTTGAATCAACACTGTTCTAGAAACCCACACTGAAATGTTTATTAGGGTCTGTCTGGAGCGAAATTTCCCCTGGTATGGCCAACAGCCAAATTTACACAACTCAAAAAGCCCTTCCAGAGAATCTGTATTGGTCTGAGCTCATAGATATTTGATGAATCTTTACCAGCACAGTAATATTATTTTCTAAAGAAATATTTAATGCAGTGTTTAAAACCCTGAGATATTTGTTTTCATTGTTTGTCTTTTCATAGCTCCTCTCCAAAAGTTTCTTTTCTTCCACCATTCAACTTCAATTTTCTTGAATGCATTATGTTTTTTCCCATGCTAACATTGTCAAACTGCAGTGTATATTTTCCACATATTCTATATATCAAAATTTCACCACATTCAATTCACATGTAAAAAATTGGCTTTGATATTGAATTTAATCATTTCTTCCCCTGATATTTCATTGACCTGAATTTTTATTAAAGCATTTTATTTCCTATTGTGTATTTTGAATTACAGATGATTGTTCACTTATCTGTGTCCCTTACCACACTTATAAGCAACTTCAAATAGGAACTCCATTATTCAACTTTGTATCACCATTATGTCTAGTACAGTGCTTTTTTCAGAAAAAAAAAAACCCAAAAACAGAATAAATGTATGCTTAACTGATGGAGTAAATATTTCATTATATTCAGGTCATATATATATATAACAGTGATAGATTAAATATGTAAATAGAAATGTTTAGAATAAATGTATTAAATCTTGGAAAACTTGTTAACTGATTTTTGGTTTATGCTTTGTTATGTGAAATTGTTATTTTTGGCTATTCTGTATGATATGTACCTGATCCTTTGTAGACTTACACAAATTTAAGATTGGCTTTACACTATACAATTAAAAATGTTAAATTTATATCTATTTGTAATTTCATAAAACTTTATACAGAGACAATTTTCTTAGAAACAGGATTATTATAATCATTGATTTTAAGTATACACATGGTAAAATTTTCCCTACCTATTTTAGAAATTTATCAGAGACTCTCATCTTTGAAATAGATAACTTTGTCTTCAATAGAAAAAATGAGAACTCCATAATGAGGTGAATATAATGAGAAAAATATTGTGAAACTAAAGCAATATCAAATTTCTACTTGTTTTGATCAAACGGAATCAATATTCTTAAATTTTATGACAAAGTACTTTCCCTCATTTTAACAAAAAGAATTTAAGAGACATTCATTCAGGATTGATAAAGCAAATATATATATATATATATATATATATATATATATATATATATATATATATATAATTTATGTGTGTGTGTGTGTATCCATGTTGTATTTAAATAACCTCATTTTAGTTAGGTAGATAATTAATTCATGACATTTGTCAAATACAAAACAAAATAGTTTAATCAAAAGAATGACATCTGCATATTTGATATAATTTTGCATGTAGCATTGCCCATTTATAATTTTATAAGAATAAAATGTCTGTCTCATGCCAAAGTAGAGAAATATGTTATCTAATAAACATACTATGGTTCTACCTATTTTTTGGAGTTAGAAAATACCTAATTCCATCTCTCATTCATTAAGTAACTACAAATTGCTTGACTTCTCTATGCCTCAGTTTTCCTGCATTTAAAATAAATCATCATTGTAGCTGCCTGTTCCTCTAATAATGCTGTGGAAACAAGCAAGATAATGAACAACAATAACACAACAACAAAAATTGAACACTGCAAAATAAGTACATAAATTCCTAATGTTGAAAATACATATGTTACATTATTAGAGCTCTTTGAAACTTCCTTTTAATTTACCCAGAATTTAATATATACAGGAGGTACTACATTGTACTAATTCTACATATGAGAAATCCAAGAAACAAAAGCCATTTGGTAAAGATGGTACAACCAAATGAGTCAGGAAAAATAGCAGTAAAACCAGAATGTCTAACCAATTTCCTAAGAACACTAACTGGCATAAAGTTATAAATATTATCCTGTGAAAATGATACAAAAATATATCTTAAGACATATGGGAGCAGATATAAATATACACAGACCCAGCTAAAGTAATACAGTCTTCCTGAACATGGTCACAACAGCAGTAGCCTCCCCCACTTCATCAAACACAGACATCTTAAGACCTGCTATTTCCAGGCCAGTTAAAATAGTCTGTTTCAAACTTGGCTCATTCATTCACCTTCTGATTCCATCATTGTCTTCTTCGTCTTTCCTCTTTATAATTTTTAATGAACTACAGGTGTAGGCTAGTTCTGATACAGGACCCTACATCTGTTCCAGGGTAGACAATGAAATACCCACTGTGAAAGTTCTGAGGTGGGCTATTTAGTTGCTGTCCTTGGACAGACTGTGGTTGAAACAGAGCTAGAAATACTGTGTTCAATAAAAGTGCCTCTGGGAATAAAAGCTCTTTCTAAGGAGACTCACTTTCAAGTTTATATTTATGTCTGATTTAAATGTTACATACTACAGTTTAGACCTATTAAATACTATTCTCTTTTCCTAGATATCACAATACCTACAAAGAACATTTCCTATATGTTTCCTGTTCCTAAAACAACATAGACATATAAAATGAAAATAAATTTTTGTGTGCATGTGTGTATATGTGTGTGTGTGTGTGTGTGTGTGTGTTTTATAGTTTGCATCTATCTTCTCCAGAAGAATGTATGTAAATTGAAAGCATTTGTAGCAGGCTGACTCAGGATGGTGCCCAAAGATTCCTGCCTTTTGTACCCTTGCATAGTCTGCTCCCTGTGAATACAATTTGACCTAGAAATATGCTAACCAATAGTACACTGCCAAAGTGGATGAATGAGACTTGCATGATTAGTCAACATGAAATTGTGATATCTTCATGCAGATTCTTTCTCTTGCTAGGTCTAATGAAGTCAGCTATCATATCACTCATACTCCTGCAACAAGGAATTAAGGGTACCTCTGGCCAACAAGCAGCAAAAAGCTGAGGCCTTCATTCAAATAGCTATGAGAACTGAATTTGCCAATGCCCTATAAATGAACTTGGAAATGATCTTTGTCCAAGTGAACTTTCAAATGATACTTCAGCCCTGGTTTATAACTTGTTTTTAGTTTTGAACAGATTGTGAAGGAAAGTACTGAACTAGTCCATGCCCAGGTATTGGACCCACAGCCTCAACGTTTGTGGTCATGTTTTACACAACAATAAATAACAAATACAGCATTCAACACATACTTATTGAAAAGATTTATTTAATTATCTTTGGAAAGAATACTTGATTTACCTGTAGGTCACCTGGGTTTCTGACTTAATCCAATTATATACTAGCAATATGACCTGACCAAATTGTTTTGTCTTTCTAGGGGTTAATTATTTTTTCATCTATTAAACTCAGTAATTAATTTGGAAAATCACTAAAATCTCTACTAGCATTTATATTTCACACACACACACACACACACACACACATATATGTAATTCATTTTCACTCACATCTGTGGAAGAGAGCCAAATAAAATTAAAATGTATTTACTTAGCTATAAATTTAATATAGAGACTAAATTCATGCTACTTTTTTAAAAAGCAGTCTCATTTTATAACCCATACATTTTAGCTTCAATAAAATATCAGCTTAGCTTACAGAAAATAATTATTTTAAAATATATTTCCCCTAAATGGTCTAATATTTAAAATTTTTGAATTAACAAACTGAATGTTGAAAATAGATTCTTTCTCCTAAATGATTAGATTCTTGAACATAATAGATTATAATTTCTAAAATATACTGATTACAACTTTTATTTTAAAATACAAGGAAGACAATTAAATTTAAGGGATAAGGTTTAACTTCCAGTTCATATTTATATTTTTCTAACACAAAATAATTGGTAACTAAATTTAGAATAGATCAGTTTACTCAAAAAATCAGTATTCAGTTGTGGAAATAATAATATTATAGCGATATTCTAATTGATTTGTAGGGGTATATTATCAAGATACTTTTAGTGTTCAAAGTCTTAACATAATAATGAAGTTATGTGCATAAAAAAATGAAACTCTGAGTTTGAATTTCCTGAAATCGATCACAAGATGTAATACTTGTCAAAAACTACAAACCAGGTGTTATTTTCTTATTGCCAAAGTAACAAATTATCACAAACAGTTGCTTAAAACAATACACATTTATTATACCGGAGTTTACATGATTTTAAAATGTTGGCTCACTATGGCTCAATTGGGTTCCTTGTTTATGGTTCACAAGTCTAAAATTGGTTCACAAGTCTAAAATCAAACTATCAACAGAGTCGTTTCTTAGTCTCTGGGAAAGAACATTTCTTACGTTTTCCATGTGGCTAAGGAGGGCAAGTCCTCACACTTCAAATCTCTCTGCTTCTGTTGCTAAATCTCTCTGCATCTGAATACTTTGCAATAGCATTTTGAGCCCACCTGTATAATCCAGGATAATCTCCCTGTTTCAGATCAAACTTCCCTACTCCTGCAAAATTCAGTTGGCCATGTCATGTAACATCTTGATGGGAATGACACCAAAGGGGAAAAGTCATGGAACAAAATTCTCCCAATCAAGTATGATGAAGCTCTTCATTTTCCTCTCCTATTTAAGATGATCATTTATCACAGTCAGTTTTTTATTATTCTTTAGATAGTAAATTTTAAATATAAGGTTCATACTTATGTAAATGCAAATGAAATTCTGAATGGTAACAAACATCTGATTCTCTATTGCCTAAAATATAATCTTTTAAAGTAAAAAGTAGTCAGTTGTGGAAATAATAAAGGAAATTTTACCTTTTGCTCCTGCCTTTGTCTCTGGCTTTTCTTTCTTCTCAGTTTTTTCCTTGTGAGTTGCTTAAATAGAAAAATTTTACATTAGTATATACTTTAATAGATTTCAAAACCAAGTTTTTCCTTGCCCTTCATTTTGTAACCATCAAAATCATGGACTGCTTTGAAGATTTATGACATTGATGAATCTAATTCAGGAAAAAAGTTACAAGTGTAATAATAACTTCATAGAATTCAATGTAAAACTTAACATTGATTTAGAAAGCATTTTGAAACCTAGATCCTCCCTTCCTTTTTTAAGTCATTATTCCTAGAAGATAAAGCTTTCAGGGAAGGAAAAAAAAAAAGAAGGAGCAATTTTATAGGGATTTGTTGAAAAACGTATCTCATGTCAGGAATAAAAACTCTATTTAGGATTAATAGCAAGAAGTATTTAAATCAGGACTAAAGATGTGATTAAGCTCAGTGTTTTCTCAACAGGGGCACAACTGACATTTGGGAAGAACAATTCCTCACAGTAGGAGACTGTCTTATGCTTTGAAAAAAAAAATGTTTAGCCTCTCTGGTACCTGCTTCCCAAATGCCCTCCAGTCCAATGTCATTTTGACAACAAAAGTTTTCCAAATATTCCCTAGAGGGGAAAACTTTAGTTGAGAACCAACAGTAGTATGAAGAGTAATTCAAAAAAGGATTATTGATAAAGTATATTAATTGATCATTATTCCACATGATACCTGAGATATTTTCTCCTTACTTATTTAGCTAATTAACAAATCAATATAAATGTGTTTTAACTTGGCTTTTTATTTAGATACACTGATGAAATCTTGTGTATCTCAATAGTTTAAGTAAAGGTTATCTGAGAAGTACAATAGCATGTTTAGCATATTTTTTATAGTTCAAATATATTAAACTGAGTGTTTTGTTGTTTGCTCTAAATATTATATAGTTCTCAGAATTTATACACTGTTTTCTGAAGTATAAAAATAGGACTTAGGTAAATTCTAAAATATTAAGAGACAAAATACAAGATTTAATTAAACAGCTGGTTTAAGGAAGAAGTCAAATTAAAGCCTCAAACATTTCTCCATCTATATAAGAACAGTAATATACATCAGCTTTACTTAAAAAAAAAAATGGAGGTGGGGCTTAATAGGAGGTGTTTGGGTCATGGGCGGTCCAGTCTCAGGAACAGATTAAGCTGTTCTCATTAGAGTGAGTGAGTTCTTACTTAAGAGAATGAGTTGTTAGAGAGTTTGACTTTCTTGACTCTCTCCTTGCCTTCCACAATGTGATAATATATCAGGAAGGGCTTCACCACAAGCTTTTTATTTGAATTGAGCCCAGGAGACCTTTACCACTGAATTACATCCCAGTCCTTTCTATTTTATTTTATTTTCAGACAAGGTATCACTAAATTGATTAGGCCCTTGCTAAATTACTTAGGCTGATCTCAAACTTCTGATTCTTCTGCATTAGCCTCCAAAGTTACAGGGGTTACAGCCTTATACCACCATACCCAGCCCAATCTGTAGTATATTTTATAGCAGCAGAAAACAGACTAAGATTCCCTCTATTAATAGTTATCCCCAAATCTTAGAGAAACCATGCTAGCCTTATAGAAAGTTTAAAGCACTGTCCAGTTGATGACCAAGTGACCCTGACAGAATACACAGCTCCTGAAAGAGCAGGGGCCTTCTCCAGGGATTCAGCGTGCCCAATAGCCACCTAGGCTACATTTGGGGTTATGGGTTCCAGAGTGGACAATGTTAGCAAAAGGAACACTATGATAGGATGCACAGGGTATAATCCACGCAAGATCAAGGTTTACATTAGAATATCTCATAAAACACAAATACCAAGGTGGGCATGGTGGCAAGTACCTGTAATCCCAGTGGCTCAGGAGGCTGAGGTAGGAGTATCCCAAGTTCAAAGCCCGCCTCACCAATGGCAAGGCACTTAGCAACTCAGTGAGACCCTGTCTCTAAATAAAATACAAACTAGAGCTGTGGTGTGGCTTAGTGGTTGAATGCCCCTGAGTTCAATACCTGGCACCAAAAAAAAAAAAAAAAAAAAAAAAAAAACAGAAACACAAATATCCATTTAAAGGGATACAATAAATAAAAGAATACAACACAACATTTTATTTATTTTCAATTTAGATACATTTCATATAATATTTATAATTTAAATGTCAAAAATCTTCATTATTTTAACAACAACAAAAAAATTTAGCTACTGTGAAGGTTGAAAAAAAACACATAAGAAATACCAGTTTATTTCATTTAGCCAGAGTACATAAAGTCTGGTGCTCATAATTCTGTGTAACTCACCAGTAGATAAGAAATTGACATCTGTTTCGAGAACAGAGAAAGAAGATGGCTATATTGAAATTGATGGAAATTATCACTAAGTAAACATTAATAAAAGGATAAATATTGAATTCAAATATTCAAGTATACACATACAATGAGTAATATTGAAGCATGTTTCAATGGATATTATTTAAATGTCGTAAGTATTCTCCCATATTCCACCTAAATGGAATGGTTCGAAACACAAGAAAACTAAGCAGGATATGCATACTGTGGATACATAAATGAGCTGAAATATCCTAGACATGATCCTATTTAAAACAAAAACAAAAATAAATTAGAATCTTACTTCATATTGCACATTCGAATGGAATTTTAATGAATTCAAGTCAAATGTAAAATATGGAACATTCTTTAAATCTAAGGAAAATAGTAGTTATCAAATTAATCTATTTTATTTTTTTTAGTTGTTGCTAGACCTTTTTTTTTTTTAATTTATATGCAGTTCTGAGGATCAAACCAAATGCCAAGCAAGTGTACTACCACTGAGCCACAGCCCCTGTCCCTCAAATTAATCTTTGATGAAGGTTCAAAAGCAGAAAAAACACAAGAAAATATCAACATATCTAGTGGCATGAAAGTCCAGCAATCTAAATACACACACTAATACATTCAATATGTATGTTCTCATGGATAGAAAACCTAAGATTGACTGCAAAACTAGCAGAAACATATTTGAAAAAAGTTATGAACTAAGAGATCTATATGCCAAAATCACACCACTAGGAAAAGTGGGCAATGATTGTGAACATTTACAAAAGGAAATATACACCACTAAAAGTTATATTTAAATTATTCAGCCTATTAGTAGCAATCAGCCCTAAGAGAGGGTGGAAGACAACATTGGCATTTAAATACTATGTGGGTTTTTAAAAAAGAATAGGGCAAATATTTATTTATGGGTCTGAAAAAATTTCTAGGATATATTTTTAAAAGTCATAACATAGGATATGTCAGATTTTGTATAGAAACAGGGAGAAGCAATAATATATATTATTAATAATATACTAGTAAAATATTATAGTACTATTATTATAGTATTATACCATATATTTATATAATCACATTATAAATTACACATTTTATGTACTAAAGCTGTAAAAGGCTTAAACTCACACATGTAGTTTATGGTGAGAACTTGGGGTGGGATGGAATGGGAAGTGGGATGGCAGGGGTGAGGGAAGGTTTTCACAGAGCAAGTTTATGTGCCAAGCAGACATGTTGTGCGGATTATCTATTCTAAATAAATAAATAAAAACTAACAAAAAAAGTACAGTCTAATAGTAATAAAAATATATTAATATCATTAAAATATAGGATCTACTGTCTTATCTATAAAATTGATAAGTATTTTCTGGGAAAATATTCTCACTGCTGGCTAATGCAGCTTAAAAACTGCTGGCTGGGGTTGGGGGGTTTGACATGGCATTTCTGAAACGTCAAGTGGTATGGGGAATTGAAGAGCATTAGGGACTTAGTCCCTTTCAATCCAGAAATTCATCCCTTCAGAATCTGTTCCAAGGAAATAATCATAATATAAATTGAAAAAGAAGAAATGCAAGGTCAGCTAAAATTTGAATGTAAGAAAGGGAATTCAAAATAAAAAGGTTTAATGTTAACAACAGCAAAAAAGAATGTCTGCATACCTTTCTTTTCAGGTTTTTCCTTTTCTTTTGTTTTTTCTTTGTCTTTTTCCTTTTCTCTGTGTGTGACTAGAAAGGAATAGATAAAACTTTATTTAAATACAAGGAATAAATGATAAGATAATTGCATGACAGTTTTGATGTCAAAAACTTTTCTGCTGCTTTTAGAGATTTTCCTTTAACTGACATGAAGGTTTTACATATTTGGAGGTTTAAGCTTCAACATAATTATAGATTTGCTTTCTATTTCTATTTTTATTTCACATCTAACCACAAACCAGAACCAAAAGTAGGTCTCACGGCAAAGATAAGCTATGCTTCAACTTCTCCAAGTCTTTAATTTCATGATTAGAAAATTAAAAATCATTGTAACTCCAAAAGAATAACAATTCTTGTATTGATATTAAATAAATGCCAGAAATCTGAGTACAAAATAGAGAGAAATAGTCTTCTGAACCTGAAACTAAGTAGAATCAACCCAAATTATATGTGTTAATCTACAGCAATATTCTAGATTAAAATTTTTGAAAACACACTAGAATGAGATTAAAATGTGAATAAATCTTTAAAAAAACAAAACTTAATCCAATGAGCTATAATCCAATTAATTATTACATCATTTGAATTTAAGTCATAATCTCACCCCACACTTTAGTCATAATTTGTATCAATTATCCAAACTAGAAGCATGGGATTCAACTCAGATTTCTCTCTCTCTCTCTCTCTCTCTCTCTCTCTCTCTCTCTCTCTCTCTCTCTCTTATTTTCCTCTTCTGTTCATGAACTAAGCTGTTTCCATCTTAGCTTTTTCATATTTCTCTCATTCAACTTCTTTTATTTAATATTATGTTACCTACCAATTGCATATTTACACAAATATAAGGATAGCACACCTGCAATGAACTAAAACTCTGCTAAGCAAGATAAATACCATCCCTGTCATTGGGATGTCAACCAGCTAATGGTTGATGGATGCTGAACAAATAATTACAAAGGTAGTTAATTGCAGTTAGTGTAATTGCTATGAAGAAACAGGCGGGATGGCACATCAATGTATAAATTAGGACCTAATCTCATCTACGTGTTTGGAGAAGGTCCCCTGGTAGGAGTGAAAAGGAGAATAAATTAGGTTTGTCAGGGAGTGGGAAAGACAAAGGGGAAAGAGGCCCTTTCGGAAAATTAAACAAGATGTTTTTCTTGGCCATGCTATTATTGAAACTTTTATTACAATATCCTGACTAGTCTCTTGAATCTTGAGATTTATTTTATCCCATCTCACAGTGATTCTTGCAACCAAAGTCTGATTATATCATTCACCTGTTGTGTAAATTAGTGTCCCCCTCATTGCTTAGCCTGGCATCTGTCTCTGAGTAGGTGTTACAACAAATATAAAAATATTTTATTGCTATAGGGATCTGACATTTGCTTACCAATCCAATCTCATCTACCAGGAATTTCTCCTTGAACTTTACATTCCAGTTATAACAGAACGCTTGTAGCTCCACAGCACACCATGTGTCCTTGTGCTGCCTTTTCATCTCTGCTTGTTTGTGCTTTCCACCTCCAGTTCCCACACCCACATTTCTTCATTTTTCTTCCCCTGTTTCATGCCATCTTTCAATCCTGGATCAAATGGCTCTTGCACTGTAAAATTTCTTTGATGTATACTTACTCTATACATCAGTTACCAAATATATGTAATTCTATTTTAGCAACAACAACAACAACAAAAAAAAAACACATTGTAATTATAGTCATATGCCTGACTACCCAGTAGATGAAATATTTAAGGTCTGCATCACATTATTTTACTTTGTCATTACTGATTCATCTTGTAATGTCTGTCATACAGTGGATTCTCAATAGTATTTTTGAGTAAGTGAGATTCTAATATATAAGAAGAACTAGTTTCCTTTTCTAGTGAAATTCTGTTTATAGATCATCATGTGGTGGTATAGATATAATTAGGCACTGCTTGCTTCCAATGATTTGAATTTTTTTTATAGTTTATTAAAATTTCTCAAATAAAACCCAGAAAGAAACAGCAAGGGGGAAAAACACCTCAGAACATATAGACATTTTTCTTTTAATTTTTAAATGGTTATTTTAGGTGTTTCAGAGCTAATAAATTCAATATAACTATCTCACAAAATAAAAAGGGGAAATGAGCATTTACATAGACCACAGTAGCTTATTTTGGTTTCTGTGGATCACTATTAATTAAGCTAAAAAAAAAAAAAATTCTTGTCAAAAACAAAGCCTCTTTTAAAGTTTCTCTAGGGGGAACCGAGTTTGTGTGAGATAAGCCATTCTTTCAGAGCCCTGATTGGAAAGAGCCTCAAGGGAGCACCTAATCTACAGCTCTGCCTCTGTAAAGGATGGGGCTCACCTTCCTCAGACAGCTGGTTGTCCATTCCACTAAAGGATTTTCAGATTGACGTGTGCACAGGCATAAATGGGAGAATTAATACAAAATCAAAAGAGCAAGGGGGCTGAATTCAGACTCAAATTAGCATATTAACTCCTCATTCCTGTTACCCAGGGGAAAAATCTGGTTCCTCCAGTCAAAG